TCTTGGCTCGTGAAACTGACATGTAAGATTGGGTGTTCCACATATGTACTAAGTCTTAGAAGTGGTCAAGTGATTAAGGATAATTAGCCAAGGGATAGCTAAGTCTAGCTAGTTATGACTAAACTAGTTAGTTATAACTAATTTTATCTAGTCATAATTAAGTTTAGCTACAATGTCTATAGTTGGCGGAATGATTAGCGGTGTTCTAGAAGAATGGAGTGAGCACTTCTATTTTGTCTTTTACAAGGAGTGAACACTTCTATTTTGTCTTATACAAAAGTTCTAGATTCCAAAGGATTAGATATTTGACTAAAAGCTTAGATTTGATTGGTTAGACTAAAATGTATGAAAGATGATTGGCTAGACTAAGTCTAGTGTTGACTTAGTGGCTAAGAAGCTTGTAGAAGTTTAAAAGCTTCCAATGGCATGTCGCCACTTCAACCTTGGATTCCGGAAAATTCTAGAAGGTTTAGCTAGGCCAATGACATGTTGCCACATAGAGAGTGTTAGTCAAACTTACCTAGGTAAAAGTAAGTTAGAAGAAATTACCACATGTTACTATGGTAACTTCTCAAGTAGTATAAATAGAGAGGTAGAATAGCACCTCTCAAACAAGTTTGGATAGTCATGTGTGAGGACTTGTTTCAAGAATGAAGGAGTGAAGTTTTTGAGTATCTTGGAGTATCGACGTGTGTTTGCGTTTATGTGAAGAGAGTTTGTGTGTGAGTTGGAGTGATACATGGAGAGTTTGTGAGAGAAGGTGTTTGGGACATGAGTGTGAGGATGAATCCTAGTATTCTAGAACCATGATGCACTACCGCGAAGCCATCAGAGGTAAACCTGAGTGAGAGTCATCCCGTAGGTTGCAGACAAGCCTTTGATGATGCTCAAATTGAACTTTAGCAAGGCTTACAATTACTTTTAAAGGAGCTTTCTTTTTCAAGTGTTGGCAAAAACAATATTTCCTCCCACTTTTAATATTATGGTCCAAATGTTAATTTCAGGTGCAATTCCCACGGTTCCACGAGAAACGCACATGAAAGTAATAACGGCTTAATAATGACAATTATCCTATCCGTTGCGGATGAGACAAGACTCCATTAGCTCCATATTTATATCTTCTGGTGGCAAAAGCTCTTGAGACAGACTCTTGACATGCATTGGCGATTAAATGGCTTTGTAACACTCATTTCTTGACAATTTCTTACAGCAACTTCTGACTTAGTTTGCCAACGGTGGATTGTTTTCTTTATTTTTGGGTAGACCATTTGATGTTTTCCTAAACACGACAAATGTGAACACGCATTTGGTTAATAAGATCAAAGCCAAACTTGAGCTTTAATCTTTGATATACCTCTTATTTGTAGCCCGTTCCGTGATGATCAATTTTGTAATTCTTTTAGAGAATTGTTAAATACACCACACTTTTTACTAAATACACCACACACCACAGCTCTCTTTACCCCCAGCATCTATCCCTCCGCACTTGTGGCCTTGGTGCAGCCGACCAATCTTGCCGCCTCGTAAGGAGCGGATCCTCGTTGCAGTCGTACCCCCTTCCGTCCCCAGCCCCCTACCCATGCTTCTTGGAAGTGCATCCTAGAGTCCACCACCCTCGTTCGCAAGCAAGGATCACACGAACAGATCCCATCGCCTGCTACTTGCGCGGGGAATAATCTCGTCGGACAAGCGGTGATGTGGTGTGCGGTGCGTGATGTATTTAGTAAAAAGCGTGTTGTATTTAACAATTCCCTTCTTTTAACGCTATGCTAATTTTTTAGCATTTGGGCTGGATCATCAGCAATTCCACGCACCACTTATGCATCTATTCTGAACTATCAGTGGATCGTTACGGAAAAAAAATGCAAGGTTCATGTTTGCTGAAACGAATGCTGCGTAACTAAACGCATATAAATTTATACAAGCTTGGCAACTTCTTAATCCATTGATGGATGCTAAACCTCTGACCACATTTGAGAAAATCTAAAACACTTAGCATTGATGTAACACGAACTTCCTTGACAATAACTTTGATTTTAGCCTACTTCGAGCTTGCGAATTGACAGAAAGAGTGTTATGATGTCTTCGTGATATTTAACTTCATGATACCATGCAATTCTTGCCTTGGCTGGAGCTACAACTAAGATATAGACTGCAAGAACCAAAAAGACGCATTGTTTTGGTTCAATATCCATGAGGAGCGAAAGATCATAGATCATCGCACACAAACGCAATCGGTCCAAGAAGATTGACTTGGGATTTATGCTAACAAGTCAATCCTTTAGGCATGTTTTAAACGTGTCCAACGTTCTACCCTCCTATGTTGCAAGATCACATGAGAATTTTGATTTTCAAAGCTCACACTACCTTCATGCTGGACTTTCAATCTTGGTCGCTTAGATCTCTTTGTTGACCTTCACAAGGCTCAAGTCTATACAAAGTCCGCTTGCTTGCACTCGTGTCATTGTACTCGAACCGTTGGCCACAAAAGAGGATAAATCCCTTATTAAGTATTTGAAATTAATTGATCGTTTTACTTTCGACCCATACCACTAGACCTGGAGGTCTGATGTGTCACTCTATGCCTACACGGCTAGTTGTGGCTGCCATTGACATCATCCGCGACAAACAGTCAACTTGCATATTAGTGTGAATTGAACAAAACTAGTGCTGACAAACTTCGTTCACGAGTCGATAGAGGTCTAGATTTCCAAACCCCATCGCAAGGAAGCGGCATTCATGTAGAACTTCTACTCTCGTGCGATTGCCGTCAACTAGTGGCGACAAGTTGCTCATTCAACAATCTCTGAAAATTGTAGCTACTATGACTAAGGAGTACCTGAATCATTAATCCATGGTTTTTTGTGTGTAGTCGTACAAGACTAGACATGACAATGACATGACATGACAATAATGACTTCTTGGGGCAGAGCTGCCCCAAGAAGTCTTTGGTATGATCTCAATACATAGTCGCTCATGCGCGGCTCAGTCATGTGGATTATTTGGTTGAGACGGAATGAGTGCATATTCAAGAACACATAATGTTCCATTGCTCAACTAGAGCGTGAGCCGTGGGATGCAACGGTGGAATTGGCCGAAATGGCATGGTTGTGCGTTCAATCGCTGGAGTAACAACATTCGGCTGCGGTTTGTAGTGCAGGCAGAAAGTTCATGAGCTAGTGGGCTCGGGATGAGACTATTTGTATGTTTCAAAGTGATAAGGTTAGATGGGTGCACACACATCCAATTGGAGGTATTTTCATCTAAGTAGTTTTTGTTGGTTTTATGAGGTAGTTAAAAACTTACATTTTCTAAAACACATTAGACTTTCTTGATTCTACTAAGATGCATATTTTGCTTGTGTTGCAGTGAAAATTTCACCATTTGACTCAAAAGAAAGAAAAAGAGATAGGAACAAAGACAAACAAAGGAGAGCTGAATTTAGAAAAAATTGGAATATGCAAGGCTACTTCTACTCATGGAATGACGCCCAAATATGTTTATCAATTTTATACTCATGAGCATGATTCAGCCTATATTAATGAATACTGTAATGCATCGAGTAGTATCAGAACCAAACTATCACACAATAACATTAAAGTATTGAGCAACAAATTATAGCTAGTAAGTAGTCACCACAACAGAGGGTAAATGCCAAATTTTGTAAAAAGTAATTTCAACAAAACAGTGATAAAATTGTTTTTAAATTGGGAAAGAAACACTAGTTTGTTTCAAAATTATTGTTCAGCAATGTCAAACTATATATAATACATGACTTGTCAAGGGGAGTATTATGTCATGAGGAAAGTCAAAATGCACTTACACGAAGTCCGTACAATAACGCACACACCAACATCGAGCATACATGGTTAATCACTGGAAATTATCTCCGTGAAACACTTTCCTGAGAAAACTTATATCATGTAGTCTTCCGTATAACTCTCTTGCATAGTTGAAGTCTAATCAATCTCACTAACTGAGGTTAAGCTGATCTGAACTAAAATGAACACCTGGGTTGATTCAAACATACCATAGTAATGTGGACGAAACTTTTTTCGGTGGCAATATGTTATATTTATGACTCCAGTTACAACTGATTGGATTAATTATTTACATAAAAGAATGCCATACCTGTATCTAAAGAGACCACATTTTCTTCCCGAAGGTTCAAGATTCCAATTTTACTTTTTCTCTTGAACCTACCATGTCACAACGTTTCAATAAAAATATATTAGATGTACTAGGAGCTATGGGTCCAACTGTTAATATCAATATATAAATTCCGTATTCATATAGATAAATTAATGTTGTTTCACTCAAATTCAATCTATACTTGTAATGGGTCTCGCCATGCTTTGACTGATGGATCGCCTCTCTATATACAAAGGGAGGGGATAACATCTAAGTACATTTAAGTATACAAGTTTATCCTACCGAAAAGCAGAACTTGTGTAAACTGATGGACCTTTCTGTACTTTAGTAAGGAGGAAAGTGATATCCGGAATGTCCTGGCACATAAGCCAAGGGTGCATGAATTATTTTGGTTGCGCGAAACTGCTCCACTTACAGCAATGGACTGCATATTGTAACCCAAACGCGTGTCCGGTCGGTATTACTCAGATCGAAAATATCACCTCGTCACACCTCGAAGCCTAACTCTTCCCCATGCGCCAAAAGATTCCTCCCAAAGCGAACGAAAGGCGCTTCGTTCAAATGGGTAAGAGAAGCATATTCCCCGGCGCTCCCTTCATTCGAATTTAATGGTGCTCAGCCAATTGCACGCTCCCCTCATCACGACACGTGGCAGGAGAGCATCGACGATTTGGCGGTCCGGGCCCACCAGAAAACCTGCTCTGCCTTTCGCCCATTCTGACGGCTCCCGTCGCCGGGAAGATTCTGGTACTGCGAGCGACTCCGACGTCGAATTTATCTTCCGCCATGCGATGGAGATAGCGGTGGAGTTTGTCCCGCCGGGAGGCGAGAATCACCTGCGCCTGTGTCAGCGGGAGTTCCATCGTTTCGTTCGTCCGTCCGTTCGCTCGCTCGCTCGATGGAACGATGAATGGAACGATGAATGTTTCAGCGCTGGCTCGATTTGTTGCAGGATTCTGTGTCCTGAGAATGTGGGGACCGAGGGCCGAATGCCAGCGCCGGTGCCTGTGCGCACGATGATCCAGTCCAGGGAAAAGCAGAGCATGCGAGGCGCCGCTTGATTGCTTCCTGCAGTCATGTGTCGAATTTGGCGTTCCCAATGTCTAGATTTTTTTTGATGATGATGATGATGGTCGATGTCTAGAGGACAGGTCGGGGAGCGAGGGAGCGAGGAGAGAAGGAAGGAGGAAGAGTCGGAGGTTGATTACGGCCGAGGTTTCTTGCAAGAATGGGGGTTCCTGCCGCTCCACCATTCCCAACCGCGAGCTCTGCATGTCTCTGCAGTGCTCCTGCTCCACCTCGTGTGTCGCAATACAACTTAAGCTTTGCTTTCAGCAATTCTTCTTCGGCCGCAAGCGTGTTCAGTCCGCTTTCTCAATTTTCTTTTAATCACGGGGCTGATGGAAGCGATGGACTGGCGGGGCGAGTCAATTGCGGTGGCGTGTTGTATAGAAGTCCGTTGGCGTCGGGTGATTACATAGGTAGTGGCAGGAGGAAAATGCTTACGGTCTGTGGGGTTACAGGGGTTACATCCGACAATGCTAGTGTGGAGAAGGACAAAGTCGACGATGGTACTAACCAAGCAGATGACCACATTTGTGGCAAGCCTCTTAGAGGTCGACCGCTTCCGTTTGGCCCGTCTGCCATGAATGATGGAGTAAATTTCTCTGTTCATTCCAGTGGGGCTTCAGCAGTATCCCTCTGCCTCTACACCGAAGCCGATCTCGAAAAGGTGTGCTCCTGATTTTTAGAGTACTTTCATGTCTTCTTTTCCGAGCGTTCCATCCAAGAATTCTTTCGCTTTCCATGCCACGCGTTCCTAGAGCTGCACAATTCGGCTTAATATCCAAGTGGAGTGTCAGTAAGTTGAAGATAAGCAGTACTACGACATGAAGACACGCGTTCGCCTTTAAAATGAGAGTGAACGTGCAAGGGCATCTGATGTATTTTGCAAGTGGAGGACGAACCCTTGAACACCGTACAGAGCATGGATCATAGCTATTTTGATAGGTTCTCAGAATACTCATGGCGTCGTTAGATAATCAAAAGTCGACCTTTTTGGCTGCCAGGGGCAAATTACGAAGGAGATTGAGCTACATCCTGAATTTAACAAAACCGGAGATGTTTGGCACGTCTTTCTGCCTGCGATCGCGCCGAATCTACTCTATGGATACCGGGTAAATGGGAGATTTTCGCCTGAGGAAGGATGCTGTTACGACTCCAACTGCATATTGGTTGATCCTTACGCAAAGGTGACTTTCCGGAATCTGCCTTCGATGCCTGGCGAGTAGAATCGTGATCGTGAGCAGAATTCGGAGGGCTTTTGTCTCGGCATTTTCAAACTCATCACATTGTCCTTACAAAGAAAAGAGTGTTTGTTTAGTCCCCATAATGTTTTTATTTTCACATCATGGCATAGGCAGTTATAAGCCGGGGGCTGTACGGAATGCTGGGACCTGGTGGGAATTGTTGGCCGCAAATGGCTGGAATGGTGCCGCCACTGGAGGAAGACGAGGTTTGTCAATATCTGAACATTGAATGGTTCTATTGCATTCTGTGAACTGTCACTTCTCAAGGACTCAAGGACTGAAACAAGTTGAACAGTACCATGCTCTTTCGTTCTTTGGATGTTGTCATGTTTCACCGGTAATCTACTCATTTTTATGAATGAACTACTGATTAGCTACTTAAAATTGCAGTTCGATTGGGAGGGTGATTCACCTCCTCGACTAAAACAAAAGGATTTGATCATCTACGAAATGCATGTCCGAGGGTTCACAAGGGATTCTTCTAGTGGGGTTGAGCATCCGGGTACATACCTCGGTTTAGTCGAAAAACTTCCACATCTCAAAGTAAGTTCTACTTAGCCCCTAAGACGAAATCTCCTCCAGGTAGTTCTTTTCTTTGGACATAAAAGGACTCTCTTTTAAAAGCAGCCGTATGTTTGCAGGAGCTGGGCGTAAATTGTATCGAATTGATGCCGACTCACGAATTCAACGAACTGGAGTATTACGCGTATAATCCTGTGGTGCAGGACCACAAGTAGGTATCGAAAGAGGAGTGAATAAGTTTTTTCTCTGCTAGTGTGGAAGCTTGTGCAGAATACTCGGTACTTGTTGAACCAGCATTGCATGACTTGTACCACAATCTTTGGTTCACGACCACAATTGTTGACTTTTAGAAAGGTTCCGAGTCTGGTTGAGGGTGATCGTGTAGAAGAAAGTTTGTACCATAATGACAAGGTTTACGCAGGAGACTAGTCTCACTTTTGCCTGACCACCAACAGAAGAGTTGTCACTTTCTAAAATTTTTGGAACTCCTTAGGATGAATTTTTGGGGTTATTCTACTATCAACTTTTTCTCCCCAATGACGCGGTATGCCGCATCTGGTTCCAACAATTGTGGTCGTGATGCAATCAAGGAGTTCAAGACGCTAATCAGAGAGGCACACAAGCTTGGTATGGAGGTAAGTCGAGAACTTCCCAATTCAAGGCAATTGATAGCTGTCATCGTAGCAGATTGAATTTTCATCTGGCGTATGCTTTCACATTGTTCTGCCTAGCGACATATTTTCTTTTGAGAGGATTTCTAAAGTAAAGCTCAGAGCTGATCTCGGGAATGTATAAAATGGAGGAAAGCATCAAAAATATGTCTCTATGTTGATTGTGTTGTAATCAGGAAGGTTTTGTATTTTGATGTGCTCTTTAGGTCTTCATGGATGTTGTCTTCAATCACACTGCCGAAGGAAATGAAATGGGTCCCACCATTTCCTTCAGAGGATTTGATAATCGCGTGTACTATATGATAGCACCAAAGGTAAGGTTTTCAGATGTTCAAAGGACAAGGGAGAAAATTCCTTCTCCAGCAAAAGTTCGTAAGGATGATAGCGGTACAAGTTGGTACTCACGAATGTCTCGAACACATTGGGGCCGTCGATTTCAGCTATAGATGATGCTTGTTGCAATGAATTTTCATCGTAAGTAAGGACATGTGAAGAATTTAGGATTGCGAATGTGGAAGTTTAGTACTTGAAATCGATTTTTGATGTAGACAAACAAATAGATAAATCTTTTCACTTTATTTGTCCACATGCTTTTTATAACACCGATATCCTGGTTTGACACGCAGGGCGAGTTCTACAACTACTCTGGATGTGGTAACACGTTCAATTGCAACCATCCTATTGTTCGACGCTTCATCATCGATTGTCTAAGGTAGCTGATTGTTACACTTATCTGTATGAAAGACCTAGACGCAAACTCCCTCGTCAAATCTCATGGAAACCGGCACGTTACAGGTACTGGGTGTTGGAAATGCACGTGGATGGATTCCGATTTGACTTGGCGTCAATTTTGACCCGGGCAAGCAGGTAATTTTATGAATTCTTGACGTCATTTATGTTCTTCGGTTGTAATTTCTTTTCTTACCATAGAGCGACTTTTTGTGTAGCTCAGGTTGTGTTAGCGATCTAAGATAAAGAAGTTTTTGAAATCCGTTTGGCTCATGCCCTTCTCATTGTTCCTTGGTATGTATCTGTGCTTCGCATCTAGCAAGCTATGGAGCCTGCAAAAGTTAAAATGACCTTAAACATCTTTTCGTATTTCATCTGGAAAGATAAATTCAAGAGTAATTAGATTGTTCGTTTAGTTTTCCAAGCGGAAGTCTTCAACTGGATGATAAACTATGTTTCCGTATACCGGCTTGCAGCCTTTGGGATAGAGAAAATGTATTTGGAAGTCCAGAGGGACCAGAAGGAGACGTTGTGACGACTGGGACTCCCTTGAGTGAGCCACCTCTTGTCGATATGATGAGCAACGACCCTGTTCTTCGTGGTGTAAAGGTGTGTGTCATTATTGTCTCGTTGGAAGACTATTTAGTTCATGGAAGTCACGCACTTCTCTCTGACAAAACTCTTATGACCTGCACAGGTGATCACACGGATGCTTATTAAAGTATGATGAGATGTTACTTTAGTGTTTAGTTGCAAACTTTTTGGCTATGTCGTAAGCAAGAAGCAATTCCGAATTCTGAAATTATTCGTTGGGCTGAATGCATTTGATAGCTGATTGCTGAGGCTTGGGACACTGGTGGTCTTTATCAAGTCGGCAGCTTCCCACACTGGGGAGTCTGGTCAGAATGGAATGGACAGGTATAATGCCGACTTAAACATCGTACTAAGACTTGCTAGGGCTTTACTCTTATATCTGCTGAGATTGCTTTGCTGGTCTTCTGAGTAGGTGTAGTTCGCATCAAAAGTCCTTCCCACTGAGTGAAACATGCTCCTTCAACTGACTGAACGATACTCATCCGATCAATAAGCAGTGCACTACGTGGACTTTGCAGTTTCGTGACACAGTGCGATCCTTTATAAAGGGTACAGATGGAATGGTGGGATTGTTTGCGCAGTGTCTCTGCGGTTCTCCACATTTATATCAGGTAAAACATTGTGTCATCACGGCTGTTTATGCTGTGAGAAAATTATCAGACTTGTCTCTGCATCAAGTATTGAGGAAGTTATATCAATTTTCTCTTACAAGATGTCATGAGAAGCATGAAATATTCCAAGATCTGGAGGCACGATGTATAGTACTCAAGTTCTTATCATTTTCTTGTGAGCAGCATTACACTTGTGCATTTGTTTGTCAGTTCTTGCAGCAACCTCAACAGGGTCGAAAAAAATTGATGTGTTGAATTGGCATTGGTGCATCGCAGGAAAGCGGCAGGAAGCCCTGGCATAGTGTAAACTTCGTCACTGCTCATGACGGTTTCACCCTCGCAGATTTGGTCTCGTACAACGAAAAACACAACGAGGCGAATGGTGAAAACAACAATGATGGCGAGAGTCACAACGCTAGCTGGAACTGTGGAGAGGTAGAATTTCTGCAACAATACTTCTCATTTTTCTATCCATCCTTGAAAATATTGATGATGTTGTGGGGTTTATATTTAGGTTTACAAGTGCAGCTAACACAGACAGAGGACTATTAACTGAAATAACCATGTTGTAACTTCTAAACTGTGAGTTTAACAGGAAGGAGACACCCACAATTTTTCCGTTCTGCGGTTGAGGCAAAGACAGTTGAGAAACTTCATGCTAGCTCTCATGGTTTCTCAAGTAAGCCCTGATTTGCACAAAGTGCTCTGATTGTCCATTGTTTCCTTCTTTCGATTTTTTATCTATATATCTTTTAAGCTTTTGTACTATTTTACTGAACCTTCTTTACTGTTTTAGGGAGTTCCCATGGTTACTATGGGCGATGAATACGGACACACCAAAGGAGGAAATAACAATTCGTACTGCCACGACAACATTGTAAGTACAAGGAAATCTCTTTTTCCATGACTGTCGTGCATGGTCATTATGGTTGAAGTCACTTAACCAATATATTCGAGATGTTTGTTGCAATATTAACCTGATTGATGGTTCTAGATACAGAACCATTAATGAAGTTGATTTCTCATTCTCTACAGACTAGTTTCCTCCTAATTAGTTTTTCTCCATGCAGATCAATTATTTTCAATGGGATCAAAAAAATCTAGACGCGCAAGGATTTTATCGTTTCTCTCGCCTTCTCATTAATTTTAGAAGGTAAGTAACAAACCATTCGATTTCACATTAAAGTCCAACACACCAGCGTACATAGTTGTGACCCATATTAAATATTGGAACGTAGTCGATTGAACAGGATCATTAGATTAACTTATTTAGGTTAACTTTAGAAAATTATCATCGTAAACTACATGAGTTCCATTCGGTGTCCTATGTTTATCTTGTCCTTTTACCTCCTTCACTGACAGTGAAATCGTATTCCAGACAATGTGATGCACTGCGTTTGGGAGAGTTTCCAACAGCTGAGAAATTACAGTGGCATGGCTCTGTTCCTAACCTGCCCGACTGGTCGGATTCAAGTCGATTTGTAGCTTTCTCGCTGGTAAAGTCCGCTTACTGCTCTAGTCTGTCTCTGAATAGTGATCTATCTAGTAATATGGAATATCAGTCGTCCGGTCTGTCGTTGAAGCATACCTTGACTCCAGGGGCGGTTTCAGAAGAAATCACTTGGTTTGGTGCTGATGAATCTTGTTGCTTGTCATCATTTTACGTCATCGGTTCATACCTATACAGTAGATACGAAGTTCTTAAGATTTTGACGTGGAAATAAGGATAAAGCGCATGTGGCCTACATTTGTATTGAAATAAACATTTATTAAAGTAATGTCGTTTACTTGCAGGTCGACTCGCAGTCCAAAGAGCTCTACGTTGCCTTCAATGCAAGTCACCTACCTACGGTAGTGTCTTTACCAGAAAGACCCGGTTTTAAGTGGTACCCTCTGGTGGACACTAGTAAGGCCCCTCCATATGATTTTCTGTCCGATGACGTTCATAACAGAACTATTGTCCTTGCACAAGCCGCGAACTTCCTGAATAATAACATGTACCCCATGCTGAACTACTCATCTGTACTTTTCCTTCTTGTATCGGATGATGAGTTTTAGGACAAAAAGCTGTTTAGGCTACAATTGCTTGAAAAGGTTGTCACCAACCGATCACATCTGTGAAACTGTGAAAGGCTGTATTTAGTTTAGAAGTCAGCGAGCAAGTTCTTCTAGATTGCTGGCAGAGCCCTAGCAAGTGGTTGAGGTAGATAATATACAGGCATGTGAGAACAAACGGATATGTATATGATGTAATGTTTCTCTCTGGAACATTTGATGAGGTTCCCACTCTTAACAAATTTTCAAAATAATACAAAACGGCAACACAAAGGATTCGACAAACCTTGTGCAAGAAACTTTGATGGCAATCTTGGATACAATTGGCATTACGCTTTATGCTTCAATCTGTGCAAGAGACAGTCTTATCATTTTGCTTAGCAAAGGTGTGATTCGAGCTGCAGTCCGAATCCGTTTTTTGAATATACGGCAGTGCTAAGAGTTTTCGTAATTCAGAATGAAACAGAATCTGGTGTGCCTCTGACAAGCACTCATATTTGATGCGAAAAATGGGAGTTCTCGCGAGGTAAATTATTTTTTACCGGCTTCGAGAATTTCTTGGATTTAGCTTGGATTGGACGCATTTTACGCGGTGAGTCGAGAAAACATTAAATTAATTCATGGCTTTGAATTATTTCCGTTGTTTTCAACGTCTACGTTTCGGCATAAATTGTAGAAAGTGAATGATGATGAAATCTGATCTGCCATCTCAAATGGTGATCAGTTTTTTATTTTAGCTCAAACGAGTCCAACCAGATAGAATACATCATCCCTGAATATGACGAATTTAAAAGACAGAAATTCTTTTGCTGAAACAAGATCATCATTTGCCGCATCCCATTGCAAGAACCAATACAAACAGCCGATGTTTTTCAGAGTCTCAGATTCTTACCAACTAACGAGTAAATAAATAATTACTTACCTTTCCAGATTAAGTACTTGACGCTTAGCGCACCCCCGATGGGATACACGAGCCATTCAGATTTATAGATGGAGTTCGCTTTCGTAATGCAGAGATTACTCCTACATATAAATAGTTGGTTCTAAGGTTTTAAGATGGGGCTCTAAGATTTTGACATATATGCAGCAGTGAAACAATGGGTCCATGTGATTTTTGCTATCTATTGCCAGTAGATTTGGGTTGTGTGGATGCACATGTGGAGGTCACGCCCTATATAGCCACACCTTAAATAACTGGGTACAAGGATAAAGAGATGATCACGAATGCCATAAAATCCGTATCCAAACAAAGCTTTCCCCGTAATTTGGCAGGAAAGTCATAAGTGCAACACCATGCTTTAACCTCACTTAGGTTAGACGGTGATCTATGCACTGACCATGGGTTGCACAATACACTGTGGCGCCTATTGGATTTGGCCAAATTGTCAAAAGTTTGTTTTGCATTTACATACTAAATTTGATAAATATTCTTAGTAAGATTGGATGAATGATGGACAAATATCACATTGCCCATCATTCATGCAATGTGACTGATTCAGATGTGGATAACCTGAGGAAATACAGGCTTAGGCAACCTGTATTGCCAAACAACTTTTGGTAATACAATGATTACTTTAACAGAATATAACGGAAATACAAAAACTTGGTCCTCCTCAGGTTCAGTGAAAGTTTTGGATATATTTCAGAAAACTCAAATGTATAAATATGATATTCGTATCCATACACATGGTACTATCGGACTAAGGTCTTTCCAGGGATTCCTCAACTTGATTCTATGGAGTTCCACTTCGAAAATAAAGGACAAGCAAAGTATCTCATGCAAATAGTCATCCGTCCAAGTGGCCTGGTAGGTACCAGATGTGATGTCTAGGGTTGGACGGTGTATAAAATTCCAGGTGTGCTTGAGTGAAAGTAGCATTAGGCCTCGGCAAGGTAACGTAAAAGTTAGGGTAAAGGTAGAGGACCATGGGTTACTAGGTTACATTGCGGAGGCTTATGCAGCCCTCTTGAGGAACATGCTGATTTTGACACAATGTTCAACCATCCACAACAGTTTCGGGGCTTTGATGTCTGCCATAATGCAAGTCAAGTTGAAAATACAGAATGTTATAATTTTCATAAAATTCCCAGCACTTGGAAGTTTGGATCAGTTAAAATCTTAAAAAACATTTCCCTTCAATCTAGGAAGAAAAATTTTCTTGACGCATCTTCGTTTCTATCAGTTAATTTCTATGAATCTTCGTCTCACTCTTGAATAATTATTAAAATAAACCACTTGCGGTCAGTAAAGAACTCTTGGCATGGAACGTTGAAATCTTGAGAGAGCATCGAGTATTGAAGTAATTTCATTTTTTCTCCCCACTACGACAATTTCAGAGCAACCACCGGTTCCCAAAAACTAATCGTGTCTCATTCCGATACCGCGTCCAAAATACTTGGAAGCGTAATTTCAACAGCCGGCAACTAGTCACTACGTTGTTAACCATTTTTCGTTCATTTAAAAGAGTGGCAAAAAAGTGGCAAACCGTAACTTATGCATGCTAATAGAAACACAAGAAGCAACATCATTCCAGGAGTGCTTTGAACAAAAATTCGATATTGACAATGTGCTCGAAGGTGGAACCCATGGATCGTTGCAAATAACTTTGGCTTGGAGTCCATGTTCGTAGCAAGGGATCAGAACCAGTTCTACGACCTTCTGAAGAACTTTCGTGACGGAGGTAATGTGCATTTTCGGAATATCGGAACATAATTGCATGTACACATCGTTAGAAGTAATCCTCTCACTGAAACCAATTCAATGGGACGTCAAACATTGTCTGTATAATCATTCGTCAAAGTATGGTGTACCAACGAATCGTTTGGACCATTCTGAAGATTAGCGGCGTTGGTACTCATTTCAGACAAAAAATCCTCCCGCAATTTCATATTCTGCAGATATTGAAGTTACAGTTATCAGACGAGTCTCTACGAGCTGTGTTGAATGGTTCAGCCTCGTTAGTTGACGATCATTGTTTCGTTATAATGAGCGATCGCATTTATTCATGCAACAGCCTTGCAATTGTGGTATGTGAAGCCCGAGAGGTGGGAAAAAGACGATGAGAATTATCTACGGGTAGTTCTGAAATCAGTCCATCCATACATATATCACCTGAATCAGATGCTTATTGGAATACGAGATGTGACGTCTCTTCCAGCGTCGAGTCAGGGATTAGGGGGGCTGAAAACAATGGCACAGGAGTCGCCCAGACAAACAAGCCCGTCGCAGCATTGCACATTTAAATCAGTCGTGTTACAAAGCTCTCCCATCAGGCGGCACAAATCTCGCCCATTCCGAGTTGTCGTGTCAGGTGCAGGATACTGGAGCTGGATCTGATCATGACAAGACAAACAAAACAAAGTTCAGCTTTTTCAGGGCCTCGATAGTTGGAAGAAAACCTCCTAAATTCCAGACGATGTTTTGGAAATATCTTTCATCTGAGATACGTCTCAGGATGGCCGAGCTTCTAGTGACATTTTGTGCTTCTTCAAACTGGCCCAGAAAAGGTACGAAGATATTGACATGATGCACACAAAATACCAAGAGACTGGACTTGTACCTGTGCTAGGCTCCGTAGACGTTCTACAGTCAATCTCGTATAATCTGATGACTTAGCGTCATGATTCTCATCATCCGTCATCTGAATAGAGCTTTCCTTTTCATCTTCTGCAGTAACCGCCATAGCTAAAAGAAGAATCACTGCCCAGGTCGAATAAAACTTAGAAATCGTCATCACTTGTGTCTTCACCTTCAATCCTTCGGAATCTGATACGAGACAAGAAACAATTCGGACGGATGTTTCTTAACGAATGCCGAGTTTTACACACGAGCAGTCCTACTTCCAGCATATGAAAACGCTTGGTTATATAGAACGCAGCCAGTTTCTGATTAATCGAAAGAAACCTGGAATTTATAAACACATCTCACTACATAATATGTATCCTGTACCATAGAAGAGTGTGCACATATTGCACTCTTCCAAACTTTAAGGTCACCCTTTTTGTAGCCCAAGCAGATAGCTATGGAATCGTATCAGCTCATCTTGATTGCAAAGTTTTCGTACCATTGTGAGTATAAATAAGTTTCTAAAGCGTTCTTTTTCTAGCACAATGTAGTTCGGGGAGTATGGGCTTCAAACATGAACAAGGGACCCAATGTTCTTCAAATCAGTTAGGTGCAAGCATGCGCCTGTGACGGCCAGATTTGTGTGCTTCTCTCGTTTATTCATTCATGGTGCTGACACATATCAGTGACATGAACATGAAGGGAAGTACAATAGAATCTTCTCTCATTTCAGAATCTCAAATTTAGAGAGCTTCTGCACATTTACTTCGCATGTGTGGCACGAGTTTAAATGGTAAGGAGGAATAACATCGGACAGAATATAACCACACTTTCAATTCCAATACCAGCTATGTCAAAAGTGCTCATTGTGAAGTACCTATCGCCAATCCATACACATATGGCCTCTGGGCGGTTGTCTTTGGAAGTGGGCAGCAGCTCAGCTGTCTTGTAGTTACAACTGCCGTGGGTTCGGTACCAAACACACATTGCGAGGAACTCTCACTCCAGAATCTGGTGGTGATGTTCACCAATTCTCCTGGACACTCATTCGCTAATCGTGACTGCGCAAGCTGATCAGACCTTGAATAAGTTTTGATTGTTCGTAATAATGAGTTGTCACGTGCACATGAAAACAATCTGGTAATAATTTTTGTCCGATAGTCGGTATTAGCTTGTCAAAATGCTTTTGGAATTTAAAGGAAATAGTGACGAGATTGAAGGTCAGCGCTATCATCACGAATAACGTCACTCTTTCATTACATCGACTATAGTGTCGATAGCAAGTCCAAGTGTATGCATGTGAACGGTTGGGATGGCATTATTCTATTAGCTGAATGTTTCATTACTGTATACATTGTCATTCTCAAGATTAGCTATCACAATGATATAATTCAAAATTTTATTGTATATTTCATCAAATGGTTTCATCCACACTCGATAAAAAATATACAAGAAACATACGGTAACGTATATATAATAAAAAATAAAGATACAAGTTTTAAAATTGAAGCCAATATCTACTCAACGTAAGATAGAGATGTAATCATCATATTGTGTGATAGCAAACATTTTATAAGTAATATTATTAAGTATGTAGTTACCATCTACATTTTAAATATTATATATATATATATATATTACTTATAACCGCATCAATATCAAAACCTATCATGAATTCAACTTGTCAATCTTTCTTATCTTCTCCGAAGTTCTGGTTAGTTCTTTATGCGATTCATTTACAGGATTTTTTGACTCACACTATATAGAGTCAAGATTCACATACAACAAGTTTGCAACTCATGGAATTGCTTTAAAAATTTACGTCTAAGTTCTTTATACAACATAGGAAAAAGAGAATTATGGGATTGCCTTGTAATGGGTTGTTTGACTTTGATTGCAAACTAGCTAGGGAAAGATTTGATAATATTTTTTTGGATATCCAAAGTGGTTTTTTTTTGACAAGGATATACAAAGATGAAATGAGGTCTAAAAAATCAGCTTTCTTGAGGCAAAACCAAGAATAATTAACTAAGGAGCTAATGAAAGATCTCGAGTCTTTTTAGAGAAGATTAACTGAATTATACTTAAAATCTTCTTTGGATACCAAATCCTTGTCAACTTTTGCCTAAAAACTTTACTTCTTTTCTGAACTACATCTATGCCGAATTGCAAAGCAGTTGTTGGTTTATTATCTGAAGAGTAGGTGATGATTATATTCAGCACATTAGCAAATGGCAAATGTGAGTACTGAGATGATTTTTTCGTTGAACTTCTCAAGTGGGGAGGAGATTGTATTGGATCGATTCTCATCAAAGTTTTGAAAGATACTTGCATCTATGATTTTCCTTGAACTTGATCACTATGGAAGATTGTTCCTATCCACAAATAAAAAATGAAAGACGTGGTTAACAACTATCGCACTATCATGATTGATAGTGTCTTTGCCAAGTTGTTGGAAGTTAAGTTTGTGGAATCAAAGTTGAATACATGGACAAAATGTTTTCAGAAGAGATCAAATATCCAAGTTGGTTTTTGTCCAACATACAATACTATTAACCATATTCTCCTACAAGTATTATGGAAAAAATCTAAGGACAACTATATAGCTTTATTTTATGTCTTCATCGAATTCAAGAAAGCTTTTGACACTGTTCCTCGTAAGATTTTGTGTAAAAAGTTAGAAAAATAGGAGTTCCGTCTAATCTTCTTGAAGAAGTGTTCATGTTATAAAACTCAATTCAGACCAAGATCAACTCTTCTCAATCAACTAAGATCTTGAGTACCATCTGAGTTTTTCAAGGTTGTATTCTCTCTCCTACTCTATTTGGAAGTTTTATAGATAATGTGAGAATGAAGATGTCAAACTTGGAGACTTTATCATTGAAGCTTTATTGTATGACAATGATATCTTATAATTAGCATGTGATGCTATTAGTCAACAAAAACATCCTTATATTTTAGCAAGCTTCTGTGACCAAAATGAAATGGAGGTTAATTTGAAGAAACCAAAAATCATCATAGTCGGCACTAGATCTGAGTTTTCTTTCTGTTACAAACATCTAAAGTTCGAACAAGTGAAGTTTTATAGATACTTATGCATTGATTTTTTCCATAATTATAGTTGAGCACATTGCATAAAAAAAAGAATAAGTTAGTTACAAAGCTTTCTATTCATTCTTAAACCAATGTAGAAAAGCTCATCTTGTGTCTTCGAAGCGTAGGAAATTTTTATTTAAGAGGTTAGTGTTACCAGTGATTTTACACAATCAATGCAACCTGTTTTTCTTATGTGTTGTGTTCAATTAATTGCAATTTAAGATAAGTAGATTCATAAGGTTGATTTGATAAAAAATGGTACTTATTTTGAACATTTCTATTTTGATCAGAGATCATTTGAGAATTCAGGTAATATACTATGAACTATAATCTGAAAAAAAATATTCCGATTTACATTTTGAAATAGTTATAATCAATATCTAATATCACTGGCACGTTATCAAAATAAGATAATCATTATGATAAATTAGTAAAATCAATGAATTCTTTATTCAATTAAAACGATCATTTTAAATCTCTATTGAATAACTTAATTCTAGGATAGATTTGTTCTAAAAAGTATTGAGCTAAAAATATATTAAAAATTAAGTTAATATTAGGAACAATATTCTTTCTTATTGAAAAATTTCATTTCATCTGAAATCTCCATTTATTACATCTGATTTCAATATATTGAAATCATGCATTCAATAAATTAAAGGAGTTTATGCAAAATTAGTCATGTAATTTTCGTATAGAAGTTTACAAATGGCAAAAATTAACATTCCTGTAATAATTACCTCAACAGTTTTGTTCAATCCTCACATACTCCCGTTATATTTAACCATCATTTAAAAATAAAAATTGATAATATTTCAAGTTATTTTTTCAAAAGAAAAAATATTAATCCAACAATAATCAATAAAATGAAACATATTTTATTTAATTTTATTTAATTAACAATGATATATATTAGTAACTAGATTTATGGATCAAACGTACAACTAATGTTTGTGTTAAGAGATTTTTTATAATTCTTATCAATTATCCATGATTTTATTGATCCTGAATTGTTTGAGATTAAACAAGATCGTAATAGATCTAGCTATTTTGTGACTTACATTTTTTATTGAATTACATGCAACACACAAATTCATGGATGTCACTTCAGATCAAAATCGTGAAAATGTTAATCCAAAATCATGTAGAGAAAGAAAAAAATTTCAAATTGTTTTTTACAACTTTAAATTTTTTGATTAAAAGTTTTTTTATTTACTAGAATAATCAATTAGATGATTTTCTCTTATGAAAATTTTGTGAGTTCTAAATCTGTTCTTTTATTTCAATTTTGAAATTTATTTGAGAATTTTCATACTAACTTCATTTTTTTTTTCCAATTACCAAGTATGATTAATCACATTATTTTGTTCAGATTTCAAATCTACATAACTTAATTTTGTGTATATTTTATCTTCGATGCAGATAATAATTATCAGTAATTTTTATACAAATTTCAGAAGATTTTACTTCTGTTTTTTCCAAAAATTGTCAATTTGAATGTAAAATAAAAACATTGCTATGATATTTTTGAAATATTCAAAAAAATAAAAATTCACTCTAGAATTCAACATAACTTTAAAAAATATTTATATTTCTCATATATAATCAAGTCAAATGTAAATATACTTTTATCATCATCATTTATCTAATTTTTTGTGTATCAATGAATCCAAATATCACTTTGAGTACAGAAGTCCATTAGGTATAAATTTATTCAATTCTTCGACCTCAATACTCAAATCACAACTTTAAAAACACATGGATTGCTAATGTGATATGTTCAAATGATTCATTATTATTTGATTAAAAAAGTAGATGTTTAATCATAGTAATATTCAATTATAATCTGATTTAATAGAAATTCTATACAACTTATATTAAGAGTCAATTTTGATTTTGAAGTTTCCAATGAGATCAGATTTGATTTTTCATTTTATTTTTAAATGCTAAATATGATGTGAATATTATTTATCACATCATACATGACTTACTGTAAAAATTACAGTTATCAAAGTGTTATAAAAATCAAAGTTATCAAAGTGTAAGCTTTTTTTCTTATGAGCTTTTTCCTCAGTTTCAGCTTTCAGATAGATTTATAACATGTACACATGATATTCGCATTTTGAGATGGTGGTCAACTACTTCCAAAGATATTACGTCATTTTATTGAAATATTTTCCTACTTCAGATGAAATAGTGCACTGGATTAATGTTTTCACTGAATTATCTGCTGATTGTGTTGAGGTATATTACGTTTTTATGCAATTCATTGATTTACCTAACTTATAATTACGTTTTTTGTTTCACTAAATTTTGTATTACGTTTAATAGAAAGACATGAAAGTACATCCAATCAAAGTATTATAAACATAAAATAAAAAATATTGACGTAAATATTTTTCTGAAATTTGATTGAACATATATATATATATTAAATTTACAACACTATATTTATACCATTTTTGAAACCAATATGCACTTTCAATATCTTTGTTACATTTGATGTTATTATTCTAATTTTGAATAAATAAATAAATAAATCATAACATACATTATAATATGCATGTAAGCATCTGATAATTGTAATTATAGATAATTTTACACCACACAAGTTATATTTGATCCTAGAATTACATATTAGTTTTTTTTTGCAGCCATTTGACTATTTGCTATTTCTAATATATTTTGATTCATTGAAGATCTTAGCAAATTATAGCATAAATATTCTATGGTAACAAAAATTATCAATAATTTTGCTCCATGAAAACTGCATGATCATGGTATTTAGAATAGGATGCAATAATCTTTTTTGATTGTCAAAGTTTCAGATTCACTTCTATTGATTTCAAACTTGGTTTATTACTTATCGCATACTTGTGAACGGTATAATACTCTTCATGTATCAAATGTTCACAAAACTACTTTGAATATAAATGTAAATGATAATTAATTTGCATGGTGTTATGAATGGGATGTTTGCATCACATTTGACTAGAATTGAGATCTATATTTATTTCAGAATTACAAATTTATGACTGCTGATTTGATGAATTTTGAACCTACATGTAATATATGAATCAGTTATACATTTTGGAAAGTCAAAAGAACACAAATTCCGAATTGAACATTTGAACTTGATTGTTTACGCGATCTTCATTGATTAACAACTACTATGTATGTCCTATCTATGATGTAAATTTAATTGGAAATTTCTTCAACATATCACAATATTATTGATTGAAATGATATTTAATTAAAATCCATGATGTCATTTCGATGTAGAATCGAAATATAATTTGAATTTGACTACATACTTATTGATAATAAATACCTCCTAACTATCGCGTGCCGCATTCAGCGAATGCGGCACGCGATACGCATTTATTAAAAAAGAGTCTAGTACGATTGAAGGGCATTAATTGATTATCTCAAATAAAATTCCGCTTCGTAATAAGGTGTTTGAAACAGTAACGCAAAATTGTGAGAAATTCGGCGATCGACATGACTATAAACTCGTTCCCTCGATCCCCGGTTATGGAATGAATTCTCGGGCTCAAAAGTGCGTTGGGCAGAAAATAAGTGGAGATGCGGGGACTCGAACTCCGTACCTCTCGCATGCGAAGCGAGCGCTCTACCAGGTGAGCTACATCCCCGATGTGCTGATAGAGGCAAAAAACTGTATTAATATCTGTAAGCTTCAGTATATAAGTTTTGTTTGGAGGCTCTCCTCACTTGTAATATCGACCTTGAATCAAAGGGTTAAGATCAAAATAAATTCTTCGTAATTTCCAAAGAGGTAACATTCAGCGTCTCAGGGTTTTATATTTCCATTTTCGGGATCTTGTATTTAAGATTATAGTTTACCTCCCAGAGTAAGTAGAATGAGCTTTTACTTCTCAACGTCAAAAACGTATAATTGGATAGACTAAGTTCAATATTTTGCAATATATAGACTAAGTTTCGACTGACATAAAGGAGAAAAATGATACAATTTTCCGGGAAGGCGAATTGTATGATATTTTGAGAGGTAAAGGCAATCAATTTGTCTCCAAGTGATTTGCTATCACCAAGTGGGGATTTCAGAACTGGAAATGAAATGAAATGAAATGAACTACATCTACATGTAATACAGAATGTGATTATTTATACATGAATTATTCAAGACGTAAATTCCTGTTTTTTATGTAGTGAATTCAAATCTTATGATTACAAATTATTTGAAATAAGAATATTGAAAAATTTTCGTTTAATAACTTATAAAGCCTCAATTTTTTATGTCTTAAATGTTGAAATCAACATATAAAATGAGACTGAAAATTAGTACATTAGTATTCAGAAAAATTTGTTGATATAATGCAAAACTGTTAGTCAAGATTTCATTTTATGTTAGTTATCACTGATATTTCTAAAAATAGAAATTTTTATCTAGACTTATTTTCTAGCTAAGTTGTTTCATATAAAAAGACTTTAATATGTGTAATTGTTCACAGTATTGAACTTAAATTGTTATTTGAAGATGATTAGAAGAATAAAATCTTATATTTCAAATAATCTCAAAATTTCAGATTGTTAAAGTGCGATTATTCTATGTATCTGGTTGATACGGAAATTAATTGAAAAACTAGAATTGAAACTCAAGTTTAAGTTCCTCAAAAAGGTAAAACTCTTTAGTTGTTCATTGAAGATGTAACATTATTTCAACATTATAGACATAAAAGAAATTAAATGAATTCTTCAAGAAATATAAATTCATTGATATATTTAGAATTTTGAATGCTTTTTCGGCCTGAAGCGAAAGTTTTTGTTTTTGTCGGAGGAAGGTAGAGAATTCTTCTTTGATTATAATATATAGTAGCATATAAATTTGAACAAAAGAAGCATAAAAAGTTATATACATACTAAGTTGCTTCATACGTGTTGATTTTATAATATATTCAATAATTAGTATAATCTTTTAAAATCTTTATATTTCTATGTATTTTACTCAGTTTCTCTAAATTTTATTATTATAAAAAACTTTAGTCATCCACGTAGATAAAAATAAATTGTATACTGTGATTAAATTTAATAAAAAAATAGAGGTCTAGAAATTTACTTATGATTTTAAAAGCAATAAAACTTAATGCTACTGATGCTGAGTTAAAAAAATATTGGCTGCTTGATCATATTGTATCTTAAAATTATCAAATATGGTTTATATCAAATCATGATTTTTAATACAATGTATGATAATCATATTTATATCGTAAAATAAATTAAGATTATCAATTTTTTTTTATGTTTCATTCATTCCTGATACTCATCACTGATGAGTATCAGAATTGGATTACAAAAATATATGTTTGAATAGAATTATTATAGATTCAATAATCCCATGAACTTATCAATACATAGTAATCAATGATAATTGTAAATTAAGACATATATATTATATTTCTTAAAAAATTGTAGAAAATTTTACATCATATAGAAGCTTTTTTTTCATCAATAATTGATAATAAAGATAGATGAAAATTAAATTAAAATTATTAATTGACAGAGACTGAAATCTACAAAGGTTTTAATTTGAGATCAAGCAATAAGATAAGATATTATTTAATATGTTTTGATATTTTTATATTGATTTTAAATTATAACTAATTTTGGAAATATTTATTGATATGTGTTATTCATCATCTATCATTCTACATGTGAATTGATCAAATTTGCATCATGAAAACTATATATGAATCAATTTGACTAATCAATCATACAACTTTTGTCCTATCACATGAAAATTTTTCAAAAAATAAAATAAAAAAATGACAACAACAAAAAATACAGTGACTTTATTACAGCAATCTGATGCATTCATCTGTTTTCTGATACAATATGAATTTTTAAGAAAATTAATTAAGTCAAATATGATTGATTATTGTATCATCTTTAAAAATCAATTTTGGACTGATGATTGGATTGGTAAAAATATCGTGTGCTTATTTATTGATGAAGTATATTTTTCTTGGATCAATCGTTGGTTGACATCATATCTTGCTAACATTGTGTCATATGTTAAGTCGAACATCTGTCATCATCATTATGTTGCACGACAAATAAAAATGTCAAAAAAGATTAGTGTACCTGAAAATAATTGCCTAATTTAAAAAGTAACAGAACCAACAATATTTAAGATGACACTGATGAACGATCAACCTAGCGATGAAGCCTTCCAATGAATTGTCTTCAACGTTGCTCGTTTGGCGAACATGCAATCTCTGTTCAGACCCAACCCAAACGAATGCTCGGGCAAGGCTAGCCACTGCAAACTTGAAATCAAGCACAATGTAATCATTTTTAACCCATTTGTGCATATGTGTCGCAGACGTAGGGGGAGCTCATGCAAAATTTCCAGTCGTCATCACAGACAGTGCAAGAAGTAAGTGACTCGAATCATGCTTCGTGTGCTTGCTTCCAAGTGAGTGGTCGTTCACCACGACCCACTTTTATTTCAACATGTGTTTATACAAATATGTGTTTATACAAGGGTCAGCAGAAGACCCGAATCTGTCATGTAGTCCACGAGTGTGGGTTGCTGCAGAGACGAACCTGCCATCTGCAGGTTTGAAGGTTTTGGTCTTCTAATACGTGGACTCTAGACGGTGTGAACTATGTCTGTACAAGAAACAAATCTCACGTATGCAGGATGGAGCGCTGAGCCTCTGAGTCTTGGGCGATCACTTGTTTCCTCCAGTCATGGCCTCCTTGGCGTTTTCGAAGGTTTCTTTGGCCTTGTCTCCAGCCTGCAGCCATCAACACCATACAGCAAGAATGAGAAAATATTTAGAGGATCCACTTATTCATACAACCGGCTTTTCTTCATGAGATCCTTGATCGTTGAAATCGAAGTGACAGTGATGGACGGAAAATTGTACTACGATGGATCTGATTCACAAGACAAGCGATCATCTGGACATTACCTGCTGCATCATTCCTCCTGAGCTGTTTTTGCCATCGATGGTTTTCTCCTTGGTGGTCTTTCCGGCCTCGTTGGTCTTGTCCTTGGTGCCCTGGGCCATGGCCTGAGTGCCGTCCTTTGCCTGGCCGGCTTTCTCTTCGCCGAAGTTCTTCGTCTGCTCGGCCTTCTGAGCAGCGGTGTCCTTAGCGCCCTGCAATTGATCGGAAGACATGTTGAGCTGCTGATAGAAGACGACGAGAAGAGAAGAAGTGGGGAGAGATAGATTGACAAGGCTTGGACTGATAAGAGATGAGAGGGGTGTGCGAAGTATGCTTTGACAACCCTTCGGAGTTGCGCAGCTTAAGTACTGGATTCCGAAGCCAGCAACTGCGTTAATATCCACATCAATGATCAATCCGACGCAAAGCTCACATGCAAGTCCACACTCACTACTGGCAGATACGATGCTTCAGAAGAGAGAACTCATGAAACAATGACGCCTGTGGTCTCCTGTATGGGCCACCGGAACTTTGGTGGTTCTGACCTTGCAGGCGCACAGCCCTGAGCTATGGAGTGGCGACGAGTGTGTACGAGAGGATACATTTCATATGATTAATGATATGTTTGATGACTGGATTCGAGGCCGTGCAGTAGGAAGAGGAAGTCAATGATGCTGTGCTTGAGTTCGAGTTATCCGGCTACATCTGGCGATCTGCTATTCCATCGAAACTGAAAGTCCAATGCTGCAGATATCGATCAGCAGTCTTTAAACAGTTATGAAAGAGGTTGTGGCAGGCTATTGTATCCACGAACTGTAAAGCTGGACGGGTAGAAAGATCGATTCCCGTGAAGGACAACAGCTTGAAGAGGTTGAACAGGTTGCTACGACTCCGTAGAGACTCGTGAAGTGCGAAGCTGTTGATCCAAATGCTGTTCAGACATTCCTCTTTCACGACGATATTTTTATCTGAAGACTTTTCCACGCGTCGATCTGAGTACCGTCGGCCCTGCCAGGTGTCCCAACGCGTACACGATTTTTACAATCTCTTCCACCTGGCTCCGGTGTCATGTCTGGCTTGACTTGTGTCGGAGGGATGGAAATCTCCGTCATCTGTTACTAGATTTCAGGAGAATCTTTAGCGTTGGTTGACGCTATATAGCACCTGTTAACGATGCGAGTAGGTGATAACTTTGATATAGACGAGAAAATTCTTGCAAGCTGAAGGGTTTTTTATCAAGCGGTAGTGAGTCAGTTCTGACGCAGATAGTTGATAGAGATCTAAAATTAGAGGAACAACTCTGAGGAGAGCATTATTTGTGCTAGCTTCTCATTGGAATTAGGACACATTTGAGTGCTGTATGCTTTTACATGATAATCAGATTTCTGGAATCTGTCAAACCACGGTTGTCACGATGAACCTCTGAAGAAAGTTGTGTTAAATTCCTGATGATTATCATTACGCTGACATTATCTGATTACATCGTTGTTCGCGTGAGGCACATGGTTTTTGAAATGTCTGTGAGCTTCTCATGGATTTCGTCTTCAGTGAGCAGTCTTTGAAGTCATGGCTTCATGTTCACAATTCAAATCAAAGTTCCTTCATAATGACACTCCTTTTCATTTCTGCATCCTCTGTAGACTTGACCACTCCATGCATCCACACCACATGCATCATGATACACGCTGGAGAAAGTTACAGCCACATGTGCCATTGGGATAGTCGTTAAAGACGTGCAGTGCAGTAGCTCTGTTTTCTGCCTGCCACCGTCAACTTTTCAGTGAGTGAAGATAATATGGGGATTCCGTTCGGAGCAATTCAAGCTCTCTACTCCGAATAAATTCACTCGATGCATTTACCGAATTGAACACCAATGCCATCCATGTATAGATCTGCGTTGTTTGAAGGCGGTGAAGCTTTTATTGATTATATATATATATATATATATATATATATATATATATATATATATATACAGTATACGATTACAATGATCCCCCAAGATAGGATTCCGGGACTGTCAAGTACGTTGCCATCACATCAGCCTACGAGACGAGTGTTCGCCTTTCACAGAATATGCACATAAAGCTTCTGATGTTACTTCACCATGGCCGCTAATAATCGAGGTCCTTGGTGACCCTCGTCTCTGACAGCTCGTGATCCAAGGCTAGCTTAACATTCAAACTTCTGAACTGAAGTCTAATAGTTTACTCGGGTTTGCCAGGAAGTGTTTCCTTGGCACCGTCAAGGCCGTCCTTCTCAGCTGCCTGCAGCAGCAGCAGCATCCATGACACATGATCAATTATGGGGAACTAGAGTCTGAGGAGAAAATGATTCAAGAGGAACATGGGCGGGAGTATGAGTCAGCCATTACCTTGTTCAGAGCTTTGGGAGTGGTGTCCTTGCCTTCTGAAGCCTTGTGCTTGGTTCCCTCCGGAGCATGGTCGGCCTTCTGAACTCCAAAGACCTTGGCCTGCTCGGTGGTGTCCTTGGTGGCGTCCTTGGCGCTCTGCATTGAAGACATGGTGGCGGTAAAGTAGAGGAGTAGAGAAGTAGCTCAGTATTGGAGCGGAATTACAGATGAGAGCCGGAGTCAGAGGAGTGATTCAAATACAGAGAGACAAAGAGAGGTTGTGGAGATGGGTGAGTGAGATGGATTTGTGTATAAGATGTGCTTCAGACCTGTTTATATAGGAATTCTGGAGTGCAAATTGATATATTGCAAATATTTGCTCTCTCTTCCTGCTCAGCCACGGTTGGTGTTTGAATAAATATCTCGAAAAAGTTAAAAGTTTCTCGAGATTAACTGACATTTTCCAAATGACAAACCCCCTCGATTGCATGAGGATGGCAGTTCACTAGTTTACCATTCCGGAAAGTGATCAGATCCCTTGCACTTCAAGTCAAAGAAGCATACCTGGTCGAATGACCTGATCTACTACAGATCATTCGAACAGATAAGCGAACAGATCATCTGATTTGGCAAGAGACAAAGGAATGAGGATCTAAAAGATGGACGTGCCTGGCACCTATGGCATCATGCATCAGTGTCAACAGTCGGAGGCCACGGGGACAATTGAATACAATTGAATACAAGCTGAGCAGCATACTGAATCAACAGGAAACGTTGGCTTCGAGATACAGAGAAAACGACACACACCCATTCCCTCGGTGCCCAACTCCCAAGCATAGGTCCGGAAATGAGAAGCTCCATGAACCATGGTTGCTGCTACCGATCTCCGATCATTGCAACGAGTGGTGTCTCACGAGTTGCCATAACTGTGAAGGAGCAGCCCTGTTCAAAAGCTTTCAGAATAAATTCAGAGGCTTCATTTACCAAGAGCATAATTTATTGAGCAGTAACAGAGGAACAAACCAAGGCCACCTAGGTTATGAAGATTCCTGCTTGGAGTACTAGAATCTGCCTCTGTCACAGATCTCATGAGCCGTCTCAGATATTGTGCTTCGGTTCTTCCCTCTGCGAGCACTAGTTTGGAAAAGAAGTGGTAGGTCTGCTTCATGTCCTGGATCTAGGCGTCCATGAAAACTCATTTTCGGATGGGTGGACTGCCAGTATCTAGCAGCGGAAGAACGAAAGAGTTCAACACGAAGGAAACTCGATGAGGAACTTTCCTTGAAGTTTGTGGTCTGAAGTTAGCGGCGTGCTGCAGGTGAATGACTACTTTCTAGTGCTTAATTGCTTGCGATCGAGGACTTAATCTCTTCGTTACTGATTTGCAATAACCCTTTTCCCAGGCCCTGCGCAGATCGACATGATGAAAGAAAGGCTATGATCGTACGAGGCAGCGGCAATGAAAGCCTGTCCTGAGAGGTTCATTCAAGTCATGCACTGTACTGCACTGCACTGACAGACTCGAGATTTAGTCTTGCCATTTCGAACTTGGAGCTTTGGATTCTTCATCATACCCGAATCGATTCCTGCCACCAGCAGCTGCAGTCGAGGGAGCTCGTGACAGTGGTGTGTGTGTTTTAATTAGAACCAGAAACTGAGAATGAACTAAGAGCATGTGACTTCAAAGTCCAGTGTCGATCTGACTTTCGTTGGCCATGCGCTTGAGACTGCAGGCGCCGTGTGCAGTCTTGGGCAGTCTTGGGCACTCTGTTGTTTTTAGTGACCTATTATGACTTTCAACATCCCTCAACTCTGCATACAAAACGATGTCCATGTGTACTTGTACTTACTGGGAAGTAAATACTGTAAGTAAGGACTTGCTTACATTCAGTAAGTAAGAAGTAAGGAGGTACTTACTTACATTTTTGTTTCTGTTGTTAGTTTTGTTAAAATTTAAGACTAGTACAAATTAACTTTTGTGAATTAATTTTTGTAGCAGGATTTGAACCCATACACATGATTTACAAGAATCATATATATGGGTTAAGTTTTGTTTTTCCTTATTCCAGATTCTTCCTTTTTCTTCTTGTGATTTTAGCAATGGAGATCAACTTAGAACGATAGAGATTGGAATGCCGAGTTATCGTTGTTTTCAGATCTTTAGGCTTTGGATCTGGAGATAAATTATGTTGTTTATTGTATACCATCGCGTAACACCAGGAGTAGACCTTTAAGTATATTGTAAACAAGATTATTTTTGCCTTTTTAAGCTAATGTTTTACTCTTTCTCTTAGGATAGTCTAAAGCGCACCGTCATACATGATCCAATGTTTCATTTGAAGTGCTTCTCTAGAACTCTTTTTATTGCAAGGTATACCTGTTTATGTGAAGCAGGTACACCACGTCCTATACGCACATGAGGAGTTGGCCACATCAACATTTTCCATTATCTGATTGGAATTATTTAGAGTACACCGAAGAGTCTAGACAAGCTTTTCAAACATTACTTGATAAAGCTGCACATGAGTTCACCTACAAGCTAGGATAGTTTTCTTTATGCTACTCTAACGATAATGTTTACTTTATATTGGACTAGAGCATACTTCACATAGGGAGACAGCGACTAACTTTGCAGATTCTTTGCAGACTATTATACTACTTTGCATAATTATCTATATGATCCACAAAATTTAGAATTTGGATTCATTCTCATGATAATGATGCTTGATTAGTCCAGTGTAGGATATAAAGAGAAGTTAGGATTATAATACAACTCTAATAACTTCCATTATTTATCCATAGCAAGATCTTTAGAGTACATTATTTCTCCTTTACACGTGTTTATCTTCCACATCAATTGGAGTATCATAGATAAAGATATAAACATCTTCATGATTTTCTTCAACCAAATAAAAATTTCAGTGGTACATGGATTTTTAAGTTGATTACACCGATGTAATAAATATCCATATGAAACTAATTTTAAATATATAACGCACACTAAAATCTTTCATAAAAAATATATAAGAGAAAGATACAAGTATATGTCACACTATGAAGAGTAGGCATGCACATTCAAATCAGCTTCTCAACAAAGATTATTAATGCAATCTTTGATGTATTTTAAAGTAAATAATATTCTTGATCTACCAATTCTAATATCATATGTTTTCAATTTTAAATAATTGAGCATAAAATCAAATATTTAAAATAGGAAAAATATGAATGATTTCAATCACATATTGTAAAACATAACATAAATGAAATCACATATATATCCAAGTCTTAGAATATGTTAAAATTTGAAAGACCTTTAAATTTCTTTATTCATACATAATATTTCATAAAATATTTAAAAAATTATTTCAAGTCATATGAATATATTGTTTGAATTTGATATTTCAAAATTAACTTATTTCTTCCATAGCCTCATTTGATTTGATTTATATTTATTTAATTTCTTAATAATTTTTTTAAATAATAAAATTATTTTAGAACATTTACATATTATACGTATGACATAAAAATTTTGTTGAGACAATATTAAAATTTTATATGGATACATAAGATTCTAATATGAAAGTTTTTATTTACGTGACAATTGTTTTATTAGATGTGAGACATTTGTCTGAAACATCAACATTCATGTAGACTATATCTCATATACATGATAAAACGTAAAACATGTATTATTCATACCAAAGACCTAAATTTTTTATCAAAATTTTCGTAGTTACATCGATATTATAACTATACTAAAAACAAGTCCCCTGTCATTTTTGAAGTTTCACCAATCATTCATTTGTCAAGTTCCTAGCTGCATGAGCCATCAAAACTAGTCTGATCTCGCCGCAGAAAATTATGAGTGGCCATTTGTGGAAAATAATCAGGAGCGATATCGGTCTGTGCATTAACAGGTCTGCTATTGCTAACGCGTATGTAGCAGCTGCAAGTGGTCTTTATCGATGTCGAAACCCCTAAAACCAACACGGGAGGAGGAGGCTCAATCAGAAATCTCAGGCAATAATTCGGCATTGCGCATGATATCAGAAGCTGCAACTGATTTCTCTAGAGGCCTGTTGCCTCCCATCCTTGCAAAGCTCAGAGAAATTTTCAGCAAGATTCGAGAGCATCCACCATCTCTGATAGATTATGTGCACCCGGATTGCAAGTACTACAAACAATTATTCATCAGAGTTGCAAATTTTATCTTATTTGAACTATCGTGTTCACAATTCTGGAGCAATATGAAGCTGCTCATCTAAGAGACAAATATGATAACACTGAAGCCAGATAAGTAGTTCCCGTACATGTGCAACATAATGAATTTGGCTTTAGAGTTTACATAACGACTCACCACAAGCCAAGGGTCAGCACAAGCCACCTGCTCGTAAGCTATTATTACTTGTTATTGCTTGGATCCTTACAACTACTTTCCATGACTGGCAGAAGCACATACATTTCAGGTTTCATTGTATAAAAATCCTAGTTTAGTAAGGACTCATGAGCTGTATAATTAGAATCTATTGGATGTGGTTGCTGAGCTTATAAAAAAGTCCCTAGTAAGAAGTAAAAAATGACGTTTATGTCCTTTACTAAGACTGTATTGCTTGAGGAATCTTACGCCTGAGTGGAAGAATTGAAAGATAGATTTGATCCAGTGGGTACATTGATCCTTGGGTTCCACCTTGCCTACAGGTAGGTACTTCCAATGACTGGAATGTGGAAAGTGTTACATGTTTAGAAGTAGGATGTAAAGACTAAGTGCTCCGTTTCATCTTTGCATATAAATGCTAAGAAATATATAGATATTTCTTTGTTGGAGTAAACTTCGTCTCTCTTCATTAAGACCCCTGCACATCCCACAAAATATCTGGATGGGAGAAGTGTGGGATGAAATATTATAAATAGTCCTAGGGTATCTGGAGATGGAAGTGCTTGGTATATGTTACTTGCAATGGCTTGTTTGATTCAAAGATTGTGGAAGTCTGGTTAGATTCGTCAATCTGCCGGAATATGTACTGACAGCTATTATAAACTAGATTTGTAGCGTCCACGCAGGAGGAGCAGGAGGTCAATCTAAGTAAACCCCTGCGTTCGCATTCATAAATCGGATTCTGAACAAGGTGTGTAGGGCCTGCCAAGATTGCCAAATATTCTGATATTTGAGTTCGTAACGTATGTTCCAATTCTGTATTCAAGTCACTTGAAATAATTCTTGGAGTTCTTCCTCACTGGCAATTAAGATGATCAGAAATAAGGAACAAAGGAACGTCATCTTTGACTA